GCTTTATAAGATATTTTGATGAATAGCTAATTTTTAAAAACTAGGAGATTTCGTACTGAAGTACAGATGTCCTGCCTCTGTGGAGAATCTAAAGCTGCAACAGCTCTGGGTACAGTCCCACCTGGCAACAATCTGTGGCAGCTGAACAGCAGCCCCCAGGTGGGCCACACCCTCTCCCATTTGCCATAGTCCCCACCACATCCTGCTGCTCCTAGCATTGGCTGAAGTCATTCATCAGTCATTTCTATTACTACCTGCCCTGAGGTAACTTGGGTCTATGACCCCAGCAATTCATGCTGCTGATTTTTATGTGAAAATCTTCCCGTTTCTTCTCTATGTTTAAAAAAAAAAAATAAAATATATATATATATATATGTATGTTACTTTTTGTACTATTCTAACACAAGCATATATACAATTTGATATAACTATTTTTTTGGGATATTTAAATGTGGTTTCTAAATTTACACTAGTTTAAATCATTTAGTGGCTAGTTTTTGTTTCGTTTTTTTTTGAGACAGAGACTCACTCTGTTGCCCAGGCTAGAGTGCCATGGCGTCAGCCTAGCTCACAGCAACCTCAAATTCCTGGGCTCAAGCAAACCTTCTGCCTCAGCCTCCTGAGTAGCTGGGACTACAGGAATGTGTCACCATGCCTGACTCATTTTTTCCTATATATTTTTAGTTGGCCAATTAATTTCTTTCTATTTATAGTAGAGATGGGGTCTCGCTCTTGCTCAGGCTGTTTTCAAACTCCTGACCTTGAGTGATCCTCCTGCCTTGGCCTCCCAGAGTACTAGGATTACAGGCATGAGCCACTGCACCCCCAGCCTACTGACTAGTTTTGTAGATAGAACTTTGTACACTTGTCCAATTGTCTCCTTAGGATCTTTTCCCAGTTAAGTGGAATTGTTAGGTCAAGGGTATACGCATTAAAATTTCTGATTTGTACATCTGAATGTCCACTATGCCCAATTATATTCCATCAATAATCTATAAGGCTGGGTGTGGTGGCTCATGCCTGTAATCCAACGCTTTTGGAGGCTGAGGCAGGAGGATCATTTGAGGCCAGAAGCTCAAGATCAGCCTGGGCAACACAGCAAGACCTCTATCTCTTAAAAAAAAAATTAAAAATTAGCTGGGCATGGTGGCACATGCCTGTAGTCCTAGCTATTTGGGAGGCTGAGGCAGGAGGACTGCTTGAGCCCAGGAGTTCAAGGCTGCAGTGAGCTATGATCTTGCCACTGTACTCCAGCCTGGGCAACAGAGCAAGACCATGTCTTAAAAACAACAAACAAAAAACAAACAGTTGCCACGATGAAGTGCAAACAAGCAGTGTATGAGATGCCCAACCAATCTGAAAAATACCTGTCAATCCAACATGTGCTATTTGCATTTCCATTGATACTAGAAGTGTTATCACAAAATGCCATCAGATTGTGCTAGGTAGGAAAGTAAGCAGCTTTCCACAAGCTTTTTGGCCTCCTGATTATTCTCTTTTTACTGCTCCTGTCTATTTTTTCCCACTCGAATGAACCGACTCAGAGTGGTCTCAGTATAACACCTCCTTCTTCCGCAGAAGTCTTAGGTGGGCCCAGGAAGGCCTAAAATCAAGACTGTTTTCCTAGTCTCTCTTGTGGACATGTAAGTAAGTTCTAGCTAATGGGACTGAAGTAGTTCCAGCTCCTGGAAACAACAGTCCTTAAGATATAGCTGGGAGGCTCTCTGTCCCTTCTGCTGCTTGGAACGTGGGTTTGTCAGCAGAGCTCTTTTTCAGACCATGATCACACGGGATCCTCGGCTATACTCTAGAAGTGGCGTGGCAGAGCAGAATGCTGGAAGCAACTGGATCCTGGGAAGAGCTGCCAGCCCATTGTCGGGGCTGTCTACCCCTCTACTTACACAAGAGGGAGAAATAAACTTCTATCTTGTTTATGGTACTATTGTTTGACTTTCTGGTTTTTGCAGCCAAATCAATCCTTACTAATATAGGAATATTTATTGATTTCTGAATGAGTCAGACAGTACTCTTTACAAATCAAGATATATGATTTGTCTGAATCATATATATGTTACAACTATTTCCCCAGTTTTTCTCTTATCTTTATCCTTGTTTATGGTGTCTTCTGCCAAAGAGTATTTATGTTTTTTAGTCTGGCTTTGAAATGCTAAGAACCACCTTCTCTTATCCAAGTCATCTTTGTTTTGTCCCCTCTCACCATACAGTAGCCAGTGTGATCTTGAGAACATAATTCCCCGTGACACCCTGCAGTGGCTTCCACTGCAATCAAGACCCTGTCCTAGCTCTTGGCCAGCCCCTCCCCAAACAGGCCCGACATCTGATTTCCTGGCAGGCCTGGCTGCTCCTCCAGGTCTCATTACAAACAACTCTGGCCCATACCACTATCCACCATGGGCCTCCCTCCTGTACCTTCCTGCCGTTCTCTAGCGCAGCACTTTTGTTTTGTTTTGTGTTTTTTTTTTTTTTTTTGAGACAAAGTCTCGCTTTGTTGCCTAGGCTACAGTGAGTGCCATGGCGTCAGCCTAGCTCACAGCAACCTCAATCTCCTGGCACAAGCAATCCTTCTGCCTCAGCCTCCCAAGTAGCTGGGACTACAGGCATGCCCCACCATGCCTGGCTAATTTTTTTATATATATATATATATTAGTTGGCCAATTAATTTCTTTCTATTTACAGTAGAGACGGGTCTCGCTCTTGCTCAGGCTGGTTTCGAACTCCTGACTTCGAGCAATCCGCCTGCCTCAGCCTTCCAGAGAGCTAGGATTACAGGTGTGAGCCACCACGCCCGGCCAATGCAGCACTTTTGTTATTCAGAGCGGCACTAAATACATAACAGTCATGTTTTAGACTACATTAGACTGTAAACTCCATGAAGTTTTACTCCATGCCTGGGCTTTTCTGTTCAGATCAGTTCTAGCAACACTGTATAGTTAAGGAGGAACAAATGAATAAATCTATTATTTCTCCAGTGATTTGAAATGGTATTTTTATTATATCTAATTTCTTATAGGTCTATTTCTGGTCTCTGTTTTGTCCCTTTGATCTATTTGCCTATTCTTGTATTAGTCCATATAGTTTTGATTACTGTAGCTGTAGAGTAAAAAATTAGTCTTTCAAAATTACAGTAAAAAAAATCCTACCAAATTTAGATGTGAATTAGATTAAATTTCGAGGTGATTTTGTAGAGAGGTGATCTCTCTGTAATGCTGCATGTCCACTGCCGAGGCCCCCTTCATTTTCCCCAGTGGAAGCTGAGAAGGGTCTGTCACCAGGCCTGCCTCCTAGCAGGTCTTGGCACTCTTGCTCCATGTCAGCAGGGAACTCGTTCTCACATAGCATCACCTTTTGGTAGAACAAGTCTCCTCACATTATGCCATAGTTATTCTTACAGATTAGCTTAGAATCGGCTATGCTCATTTTTTAGTTTAAAAATAATTTTAAGAAGAATTGATCCCTTTTAAATATTAAAATTTAAGAACAGAGCATATTTCTGCATATGTTTGAATCTCTTCACATCCTTAAATATAGCTTTGTGGTTTTCTTCATATTTCTATACATTTCTTTTTTTTTTGAAATAGAGTCTTCCTCTGTTGCCCTGGCTAGAGTGCAGTGGTGTCAGCATAGCTCACTGCAACTTCAAACTCCTGGGCTAAAGTGATCTTCCTGCCTCAATCTCCAGAGTAGCTGTGACTACAGGCATGTGCCACCATGCCTGGCTAATTTTTTCTATATATTTTTAGTTGTCTAGCTAATTTCTTTCTATTTTTTTTTTAGTAGAGATGGGGTCTCGCTCTTGCTCAGGCTGGTCTCAAACTCCTGAGCTCATATGATTCGCCCGCCTTGGCCTCTAGGATTATAGGTGTGAGTCACTGCACCCAGCGCCCGCCCCCCCCTCCCCCCCGCTTTTTTTGAGACAGGTCTTGCTATGTTGCACAGCCTGGTCTTGAACTCCTGGGCTCAACTGATCCTCTCACCTCAGCCTTCCAAGTAGCTGACATTACAGGCACACGCCGCCGTGCCCAGCTTTATTCTAAGGCATCATCTTATGATTTCTATTGCTATTGTGAATGGCATTATATATATTTGGTATCTAACCATCTTTCTACTGCTTCTAATAACTTTCTAGTTGATTATTTTGTCCTTTTTCAGGTTTAAAATGGTAAATTTTCCTTTCTTTACATATAAAAGTGCTTTAGAACAGCGTCTAACACATGGTGCTATGATCATTTCTAGCATCTATACTTCTTATTTTATTCTCTTAGCTAACTGCATTGGCTACCAGTTTTAGAACAAAATAGTGATGATAGTCTTACACCTGACTTCACTGGGAATACTTCTACATATTTTACTACTAAATACATGCTAACAACCGTTTTGAAATCTGGGGTTTAAAAAAACCATATCAAGAAAGCATCTTTCTAATATTATTTTTTTAAAGCATAAATCAAGAATATTTGGTTTCATTAAATGTCTTTTTATCATCTGAAGATACCATATGGTGAACTGAATTCTATCAATAAGAGTTAATATTAAATAATTTCTGGAACAAACTCACTTGGTCATGCTATTTGCTAATATTTAGAGAATTTAAAACCTGTATTTATACGTGAGATTTTAACAAAAACTGTAGTTTTCTTTTTTAGGGCTCTGTCAGGCTTTGGTATCAGCTTTATGATGGTTTTATACAAATCTATGTATAACTTTACTTACTTTCCAGTGCTCTGGAATATTTCAGACAGCATAAAAAATTTTATTCCTTAAAGGATTTAAAGAATTTGCCCATAAGCTGGGCATGCTGCTTTCTGAAGAGTTGCTTTTAATTACTTTCTCAAATTTTTTTCTTTTGTTATTGGTCTATGTAACTTCCTGTATCTTCTCGTTGAGTCAAAATTTGTTATGTATATACAAAATATGTTCTCATTATAGAAATTTATTGACATTTTTCCCCATAATGCAATGGCAGCCATATATCTACTCACAGTGGGGTCGGTCCAGAGAGAGCATCTTGAACACTCCTGACAAGGGGCTCCTGGTGAGCGGGGATGCTGGCAGAAATGGTCATACCCATTGATAGACACGCGACAGAGGTAGCACATTTGGGCGCCACAGCGGCACGACATGCGGTTGCAGCCTTCAGATTTGATGAGACCAGTCCCACATTTGTGGCATTTTCTAATGCGGGCAGCAGTCATTTTTTCTTCACTGAAATAAGAAAACATGATTGGAGCGGGCAGTGACAATGAGGAGGAAAGAAAAATATTACTGCCACAAAGTATTTACTTCTTCCCACATATAATGATTGCCTATGGCTTTTGGTGACATTCAAAGCATAAAAAGAGCCCATGTTTTAGAGCCTGAAAACTGGGTTCAAAGTTTATCAATTATACATCATTAGGTAAATTATTCAACTGCCTGGAGACTCAGTTTCCTCATTTTTAAACTGGGAAAACACAATTTTCTAACGGTGTTCTGAGGACTACAGATAAAATATAAAGCACCCTGGCACAGTGCCTGGCATTCCGCCTTTAGAAAAAAAATGCTGTATTTGTTATAGGAATGAATCCATGGTTTAAAGTAGAGAGAAAAAACTCAGGGTCTTCCTAAATTATGTGTTTTATATATGTAAAGTTGGATAACTGAAAGCCAGTAAGCCTAAGCCTTAGTTACATACCCTGCAGTTTTGAATACTTGGCCTTCTTTGTTGGCAGAGACTACCTCCCATGTCAGAGTTCCACATTCCCAGAATCCCTTGTAGCTAGGGCATGGGTAAGCATATGACTGCATCATGGCTAATGGGAAGTTACTTGTTTCCAGAATCATTTGCACTGATATGGAAAGGCAAATGACTATAGAGTAAAAATGGCAGACTGCTCTTTGTCTATAGCTGCACTGCTGAATTAGGTGCTTCTATGGCATTCTGTCTGTAACTATAAAATAACACTAACTGCCTTGGCCTGTAATTGTTTATGTGTCCTCTATTAAGCTGAGTGCCTCGCAGGCAGAGGGCAGGGGCTGTGTGCCTGAACTAGCCTGCATGAGTAAGTGCAGTCTTGACGGGTGAGTCAAGAAGTATGCTACTGACACCTAGGCAGAGGACAAAGGACCCAAACGATGGATGGTTGAAAACTGGGACTGTCCCCGATGGCACTAAGCACTTCTTATCCCTTCAATTAGGAACTCAAGGAATGGTGATCAAGAAGAAATGCTCCAGCCTTAAGATAGTAACAGTGTGGGAGTGAGTTCTGAGCTGTAGACTCTCATCTGAGCCTGTGACAGACACACAGCTTCTTCCAACTGCTGCCAGTTCTGTTAAGTGAGTGTAGTCACGTGAGTCTGGGGCCAGCAAGGGCTTTTCATTACTGATATTTAGAAGACCGTTGTAGAAACCAGATCATATGTTTAAAAACAGAAAAATGTATTAGAAAATTGGCTGCTATTTACTTACATCTAGTGGTTTGAAATGAAGAAAGGCACAACCCTGGCTTGAAAAGAATTTAAACCCAGTTCAAGTTATAGAAGAAATGAGTTCTAAGTTTTATTGAATAGAAAACATCATTAAGGGGACAAAGTTTAAAGTGAATTTATTATTGTCAGCTTAATAATAGAGTATGTATGTTCATGATTTTAATTACTCAGCAACTGTGACAACACTACCCAATGCTTCAAGTTAAGACTCAAGGTTCTGATGAAAAAGATTCCAATTTAAAAAGCTGTGTCCAAACCCAACTGTAATTTTCTTTTCGTTTTTAGAGATGGCATCTCGCTCTGTCACCTAGGCTAGAGTGCAGTGGTGTACAAATTCCTAGGCTCCAGTGATCTTCCCAACTCAGCCTCTGGAGCAGCTGGGATTGTAGGCGTGTGGTTCATTTTTCACTTTTTTGTAGAGACTGGGTCTTCTTCTTCTTCTTCTTTTTTTTTTTTTGAGACTAGAGTCTCACTCTGTTGCCCGGGCTAGAGTGCTGCGGCTTCAGCCTAGCTCACAGCAACCTCAAACTCCTGGGCTCAAGTGATCCTCCTGCCTCAGTCTCCTGAGTAGCTGGGACTACAGGCATGAGTCACCATGCCTGGCTAATTTTTTCTATATATTTTAGTTGGCCAATTAATTTTCTTTGTATTTTTAGTAGAGATGGGGTCTTGCTCTTGTTCAGGCTGGTTTTTGAACTCCTGACCTTGAGCGATCCGCCCACCTTAAGTGGCCCCCAGTAGTAGGATTACAGGCGTGAGCCACCGCGCGCGAACAAGATTGGGTCTTGCCATGTTGCTCAGGCTGGTCTTGAACTCCTGGCCTCAAGCAATCCTCCTACCTTGGGATCCCTCCAATTTTCCACAGCACAATCCTCTCTGTAGAGACTAAGGTGCTCTCTACTTGCCTGGGGCTGGCTGGCTTCTTCCCTGGGCAGCTGCTCAGACTGCAGTAAGTGAATAGAGGCTGAAAAGAATTAAAGTTACATAATCCTTTTCCAAAGGCTCAAAAAAAGGGTATATATTTGCTTGCTCAATCAAGCTATCACCAACATGAAATAATAATGGGTGTGGAAGAAGAAAGACACTTTTAAAATGGACAGAAGAATATATAAAGAGTGCTTACAATTCAACATTGCTATAAATGTTCAAATAGCTATTCAATACTACATGAACAACTAATTCAAGTCCTTTGTTTTTGCATTCACAAGAACAGTACTAGATAGGGCCAGAATGGCCCTGTACCAAAAAAGGATTGCTATTATAGGATGGGATGGGGCAACCACCTATCCAGTAACAAAAAAGTGAAAAAGGGACTGGAGAAAAATCATGATTGATTCTTTTGGGAGGAGGGTGATCTGGCAACTAAATTCTCAACTAGGCAGGAAACAAATACCCTGCAGGATGTGCTCCTAGGGGCAGGACAGGAAGAGTGGCCTGCACTGTGGCTGTGTCTGCTGACCTTGTGTTCACACAGGAAGGCTCAGGGCCTCCTCTACGTAACCAGTCAACACCCTATAATCCATGGTTATTTGTCCTTGCCACTAGCCAAGTATGTTAGAAACTCCTTTTTGGAATGTGTCTTCAGATCTTGTGGCATAAGCTATGCAAAATCTTACAGACCTCCTTTGTGAGTGTGTGTATACCTGCATGTTTTTTTTTTTTTTTTGGAGACAGAGTCTCCTTTGTTGTCCAGGCTAGAATGAGTGCCGTGGCGTCAGCCTAGCTCACAGCAACCTCAAACTCCTGGGCTCAAGTGATCCTACTGCCTCAGCCTCCTGAGTAGCTGGGACTACAGGCATGTGCCACCATGCCTGGCTAACTTTTTTTATATATTTATCAGTTAGCCAATTAATTTCTTTCTATTTATAGTAGAGACGAGGTCTTGCTCTTGCTCAGGCTGGTTTTGAACTCCTGACCTCGAGCAATCCGCCCGCCTCGGCCTCCCAGAGAGCTAGGATTATAGGCGTGAGCCACCACGCCCTGCCTATACCTGCATGTTATGTATTTTTTTAAAACTGTGGTAAAATGCACATACAATTGACTAAACTATTCTGAAGTATAAAATTCATGGGTATTTAGTATATTTTCAATGTTATACAACTCATACCACTATCTAGTTCCAGATTTTAATAATCCCAAAAAAGGAAGCACTGTACCCATTAAACAGGCATTCCCCATCCCCCCAACGCCTGCAACCACTAGTCTGTGTTCTGTCTGTATGGACTGTCTATTCTGTGGATAGGCAAATATCCACTTACCTATGGATACAGCATATAAACGGAAATCATACAACTTGTGTCTTTTGTGTCTGGCTTCTTTTTTTTTATTTTCTTAGAGTCTTGCTCTGTTGCCCAGGCTAGAGTGCTGTGGTGTCAGCCTAGCTCACAGCAACCTCAAACTCCTGGGCTCAAGCAATCCTTCTGCCTCAGCCTCCCGAGTAGCTGGGACTACAGGCATGTGCCACCGTGCCTGGCTAATTTTTTCTATATATTTTTAGTTGTCCAGCTAATTTCTTTCTATTTTTTTTAGTAGAGACAAGGTCTTGCTCTTGCTCAGGCTGGTCTCAAACTCCTCAGCTCAAATGATCCGCCTGCCTTGGCCTCCCAGAGTGCTAGGATTATAGGTGTCAGCCACCACGCCTGGCCTTGTGTCTGGCTTCTTACATTTAGCATACGGTTTTTGATGTTCATCCACGCGGTAGCACGTTATCAGTGCTTAAATCCTTTCTATGGCTGAATAATATTCCATTGTATGGCTACATCACATTTTGTTTATTCATCAGTTGATGGGCATTTGGGTTATTTCCATCTTTTGGCTATTGTGAATTGTACTTAAATGAACATTCTTGTACAAGTTTTGGTTTGAACACCTGTTTTCAATCCTTTGGGGTATGTACCTGGGAATGGAATTGCTGGGTCACATGGTAATTCAATGTTTAACTTATTAAGGAACCACCAAACTGTTTACCATAATGGCTACAGTAGTTTACATTCCTACCTGCAGTGAATGCAGGTGCCAATTTATCTATATCCTTGTTAATTGTTTTTTTTTTTTTTTTTGAGACAGTCTCTCGCTTTGTTGCCCAGGCTAGAGTGCCATGGCGTCAGCCTAGCTCACAGCAACCTCAAATTCCTGGGCTCAAGCGATCCTACTGCCTCAGCCTCCCGAGTAGCTGGGACTACAGGCATGCACCACCATGCTCAGCTAATTTTTTCTATATATATTAGTTGGCCAATTAATTTCTTTCTATTTATAGTAGAGACGGGGTCTCACTCTTGCTCAGGCTGGTTTCGAACTCCTGACCTTGAGCAATCCGCCCGCCTCGGCCTCCCAGAGCTAGGATTACAGGCGTGACCCACCGCGCCTGGCCTCCTTTCCATTATTTTGATCATAGCCATCCTAATAGGTGTGAAGTGGTATCTCACTGTGGTTTCACTTTGCATTTCTCTAGTGACTAATGATGTTGAGCATGTTTTCATGTTCTTGTTGGTCATTTGTATATCTTCTCAAATACATTGCTCATTTTTTGATTGGGTTGTACTCTCTTACTGCATTCAATATTTTCTCCATTTGTTTGGCCTTCAACAGCTTGACTCTGATGTGTCTTGGGGTGGACCTCTTCTAGTTTATCCTTGAGTTTACCTACTTGGAATTCGTTTAGCTTTTTGGATGTGAGCTTCATTAAATTTGGTACGTTTTCAGCCATCATTTCTTCAAATATTCCTTCTGTCCCTTGC